TGAAAATTAAACCAGATAATATGACAATGCCGGAATACAGCAAAATGATTGCAGAATTGTGGAGACAGATGCCAGAGAAAGATAAGATTAATCGAAAAAGAGTATATCAAATATATCAAATCTTTCGGGATCAGAAATTACCATACGCAGTGGACAAACGTATGAATGAAAGTTCGGAGATTGTTCCTTCAGTATCTTTTCATATAGGCGAAAGTTTGGAATCCTTTCCTTCGATGGCAGATTGTCAGTTCAATCGTCATCAAATATTACAAAACGCTGGTAAATTAACGAAAGTTCAGATTCTAATCTAACAGTTGATCAATTCAATCAGTATCAAACACCAAGCGAAATGAACGTTGCGGGTCAAATAGGACAATTTTCAGACTCGGACGTTTTGATGGCAATTTATCAGTTTAAACAGGATAAATATTAACAAGCGCAGAGAATGTATGAAAGTTCGGATGCTGATTTTTGTATTTATAATTTTGATTCTACGAGAGTTATTCATATTTAAAGTTAATGATTTCATGATAACGATAAAGCTATTATTAAGTTGAGACATACCTAATGCACCGATATATTAATAGTCAAGCGCTTGATTGGCAATAAAAGAATTATTGTATTTATTTATTTATTTATTTTTTTTAAAAAAAAACGTTAATAGCATCTAATTAATCCATACATATATGGAAATTCTTAATTCAGAATACATCGTCCTCTTAAATTTATTTATTTTAGTGTAATTTCGAAATTATACTCGTTACTTCGTTTAACTTATTCTTTATTCATTTTCAAGTTTAAGTTTTTTCATTTTTATAATACAGAAATTGGCAATTTATAATTTAATAAGAATATAGCAATTAAGATTTTTAAGATTTTCAATAAAATTGAACATTTAATAAGCTTTAGTATGTGAAAATATCATTTATAATAATTGAAATTCGTTTAAAATATTTTTTTATTTCAGCCTTTCGAAAAATATAATCATATTTAATTAGTGATCAGAATTTTATTTTTTGCCATATAAAGTATATAGTTGGTGATTTGAAGAAAAATTATTTGAATTTAAATTAACAAAATAGTATAATATTGTTTCATAACTCTTTCTTTTTAAAATAATAAAGTATAAATTTAAATTTTATTTCTTTAAAGTGATAATGTTCTTTTTTGCAAATAATATATTTTTATACATATATAGAATATTTTATTATATTCATATTATTATTTGTTTTTTGCCATCGCCAAAAAGATGATTTCTGCTTTAAAACGTTGCTTTAGCTAACATTTACTCCAATGATAGTCATTTGCAAACACCGTGAATTCAGTTTAATATATTTAAAAAAATTTTTAATATATAGTATAGTATATAGTATCTTAATTTTTTTTTTTTTAATGATTAAATACTTATCATTAGAAGCATTGATTAATTTCGATTGCACGTAGCGAATAAGTTTTGTGATAAACGAATATTTTGACCGCAGTTCATAATAAAAAATTAGACCACGCATAGGAATATTATTTATTTTTTTTACACCGTATTTTAAACAATAATTTTGCACAAAAATATTATATTCTTTCAAAAATCGTCTAGGGAAGTCTTAAATTTGACTGCCATTTGATGGATAGGTATATATAAGAGATTATTATTAGTTCTAAATTTTCATTGTTTAAATAAATATACCGTACTGTTATCAACTCGACTCGGCCATTTTTAATTAAAGTCAACTTTTTTTATGACGCAGCTTGCAAATCATCTCGTGATAGATCTTTAATGGAACTTCATATAACTAAACTCCCGCTTTGCTTTAAAAGCCATAGCGTTGTATGTAGGGATATCAGCCCATAGGTCTCTCATTAGTAAAGCATCGATTTAAAACACAGGTAGAACTTGAAAATTTGACTGGCCATCAAACGTTAGTTGTTTATGACTGTCATAATTTTGATGACAAACAGATTTTGGCGTCATTTCAAGAGTTCCGGTTCTATTTTAGTATTTGTTCCAAACTCAGGAGATTCAGAATCAGTTAAATTTAGAGTCAATTCCAGAATTGACTCGAGTCGTCTCAATTGAGCCGATAACAAATTATAAATCATTCCTTTCTAATACTGAAAAACGAAGGATAATACATTAATTATGGAGATTCCTAATTGTTGCAACTTGTTTATAGTTTATTTAAAATTTTATACATATAGCGTATTACAAGACGATTATCTGTGAATAAGAACAAATAATCGATGAAATTAAATATAATACGAAACTACTGAATTAAACAAAAAAAAAGAATTTCGAATTTATTCCTTGAGAAGAATTATAATTAAAATATTAGAATATAATAAATCGATCTTTGTCATATTAATTCATCATAAATTGTTAATTAGAATATTAATATTAAAGATTGTACATTGCATAGTTTTAAATATAATCACTTGATTTTCTAATTTTCCGAAATAAATGTAATTGAACTTTATATCGTTTTGTGGATAGGAATCAACCATATTTTTTTAAACATTTTTTGATGCTTTTTCTGAATTTTTAAACATGTAAATCATTATTTGATAAAAATATTTTTTAGATGTTATTTGTTGTAAATTTGGATTATCTAGAAGCTAATTAATGGGCAGTGTTAAATTATTTATTATTATAGGATTTTATTTTAATTTTTTTTAAAAAAAATTAATATTAACAAAAAGTTTAATTTATTGCTAGTAACACATAATATGTTACAAAATTATTTTTTTATCATGGGAGGTATTAACCAATTCCTTCATATGCGTCAAAATGGCTGGTTATTATGTTATTTACTGATATCACAGGGATAAACTAAATGTCATAAGACACGTCAAAAGTCAAGAATGTTCTGATCAGAACGATTCTGATGAATAATTCGGACAAATCACGTGACAAGACATTTAAATTTTATTGTTCCAATAATTAAATTATTATTTTATAATTGTTATCAATATTATATAAAAAAATATATCTGATTTTATGATAATATGGCAGTCTTATGGTGATCGGCTATTAAAACCTTACAGATCTTATGATTTACTATGAAATTAAACTGCGAATTTTTATAATGCGTTTCGTGCCTTTTTGGTTATATATAAAATGTCTTTATTACTAGTCTATAATATTGTAGAGTAGAAACTAGTACGATACAGTCGGAATCGTAGTGATCAGGAAAAATTGTACTGTACTGGTTTTTCCTATACTCATTTCTCTGACTTATAAAAAATTGCGTCTTAAAATATTGAAGAACATTGTTATAATTAAATACATCTAAGTTTATTAAAAAACATTTATATGTCATTTATAATAATCCAGATAAAATGAAAATGAATTAAGTTTTTTTTACTTTGATGAAAGAGATGAAAGTGATACTACTTATAGAAACTATAGAAGACGTATTTTCAATAGCTGCAAATCACCCGTTCCAGCTTATTTCATGTAGAATATAATATCAAAACTAGTAGGTGATATTTATTTTCTAAAATAAATATGCATCTTTTTGATCTTTTTGACTAGTGATTTGACCCGGTTCGTGATCTTAGAACTCGTGTCGGTGATCAATTTACCATTTTTAATATTTATTTACAGCAGTCATTTATTTCAAATTTGGTAGTTATATGCTTTTTATGTGAAATAAAATCGAACCATCCGGCCTGACCAATTTTGTTAATCAAATGCGAAACAAAATACAGTATTTATTATTTTTATTTTATTTAAACGCAGTTAATGCATTTGACTTCATTTTTACACCTGTGAATTCTGTGAATTCGTTCATTTTCTTAATAAAATTTAATTTACTAAACTCGAATACTACCTCAATCCAAAAATTCTAACTTGATATGATCGAGTCAACTCATTTTAACTACAGTATAACCTTTATTCATTCCACAGTAGTTGTGGCTGAGAAATATGCATGCATATGATATTTTATGCGATGCAGAAGTTAGGCACCATGTACGCCATTCTTATTATTTTCTCCTAAATAAACAATGTTTTCTTAATTTACAAATTTATATTTTATTATACCGTTTTTTTTTGATTGCATAAACTTCGTTGTTGCATAAAGGCTCAAATTATTTTTATTTTTTTTACATTCCGACATCAGCTCAATTTTTTAATGCAATTTGTTATTCACAAAATCTATATTTGGTTGCGGAAAAATGTCATGCATGCGAGACATTTTATTTGATCAATCAAATGCGTATAAGAAGCACAAAAATTTTTTTAAAGAAATCATAAATGACAATATTCATATAGATACTGTTACAAGATGCAATAAAGGAAGTATAGATATTTTTTTAAAAGAAATGCTTATAATGTCATAATTTTTTTAATTGTTTATTTGTTAGAATTATTATTAAAAATTTCTATTTATGGTAAATCATATGGGTGGTATGCTATTAAAATTGAGGTACGAGACATAGTAAATCATATGATCCGTACCTCAATTTTAATAGCACACCACAGTGAATCGGTTAAATCGTTGATGCAAGTGCGAGATCGAATGAGAATGCACGTAAAATGAAGAAAGGTTGTATTGATAATTTATATTATATTTTTTGACTAATATACGAACTACTGTATCAAATTTATCCAACAAAATCAAGAGAAATTTATTTTATTGATAGTTTACGCACAATCTTGGGAAGTTTTGGGATGGAATCTTTGTTATCAAAACTTCGGTTCTGATTGTATCACTAATTATTATAATCCAAATTATAACAAAAATATGTTCTCACGAAATCATTTTTTTATATAGATATCTAGTTTGTCAATATAAGATACTGAAATGTTCATATTTGCGAATTTAAGAGTGAGTGTATTTAGGATTTATATTTATAGTTAATCATAAACTAATCCAGATTTAATCCTACTCATCTGGATTACAATCTGTTATATCAGACGGATTGTCAATTTGCTAAATATCCTAATTAAGCTCGGATGATGGATTTAATTAATCACTAAATCTAAGTTTCTGTAAAGGAATTGCATCTTACAGTATTTTGTTCCGAACAAGTTTTTTGTTGATTTCGTAGAAATTGGATCATTAAAGAATATTTTTTTTTTAGTAGTGTTTTTTATTAATTATTTTCTTTTTTTAAAAAAAAAATTATTCTAATAAATTCAGTTCGTATCGTATATATTTTTTTTATTATTATTAATTTGCTTTTATAGTAAAATGTCACTCAGTGTTTTTTTATATTATGATTTATTATTATTTAGTCATTTCTTTCCTTTTTTCTTCGTTTGGATTACTTCGTTTGTTTTCATTATTTAATCTCCTTTTTGTTTTAATGATAATTCATGTTTATGTTTTTGTTTTTTAACTTATGTTGTTATTTTTTGGCGAAATATTATAAATCTCCATGGATAATTTCATCTTTTAAATATAAATATGTCTAAATTTAGTGTCACATTTGGAGAGAAAATATGGAAATAATATTAATGCAGCAGAAGAGCTCATGTTCTGATTAATAGAGAAGTGAAAAAATTAAAATTAATGTGAGCTATTTTATGGTAATATATTTATTTATATTAATATTTATTTCATAACTATTTTTACAATACTAATTTAATTTTTTTAGTGGTAAAAGACACGCACGATGAAAAATTATTAAAAACTTAAAAAACCATGACAATTCAGGTATACCATATACAAAATGTGATAAAAGCAAAGATAAAGCGTAAATTGCATCAAATATTAGATGTAAATAATTCATTATTATTATATTATATATGTATGTATATATTTTAATATACTAATAATTTATTTTATTTAGCTACAAGATATAATAAAAAACCTGAAAACAAAAAGTCAAATAAGAGAAAGCTTCTTCTATAAGTATTAAAGAAAAATACTACACCATGATTCTAATTCCCAAATTACAAGTGATGAATTTATGATAGAGATAATAAAATTTGGGTTGAAAAGTAAGTTTAATTAATAGAGGTAATGAATCTATATCAAGCATCGAACTTGAAGAAAGAAAGGTGGCATTATTAGAACGTCAAGTAAAGAAATGGTGGAGGTGGAAGAAATGAAATAAAATTGACTTGATTATATTTTATTAATACACACTTAAAGAAATAGCAATAAATTAATTGTAAAAGAAAAGAAATTATACAGTTATATATTCATTATGGTCGTAGTATTACCAGAAATCCTCATTATATTATTTTGTTTTCTTTTTTGATACCATTTATAGACAAGGATTCCAATTGTCATAAAAATTGCGGTACCTATTATTCCGCTTATTGTACTAACTATTGTGGTTATTTGTCCATTAGTTTTTGGAGAAGACGAAGTTATTGTGGTTGTTAAAGGAGGATTCGATAAACTTGTATTTGAAGGTGCAGTCTCAGATATACTTATAGGTTCAAATTTATCAACCCAAGTATAGTTTCTAATATCTAACAAGTAAATTTTTCTTGAAAATGAAATTGCTGCTAACCCATTTGGATGAGTTAGATGACCTATAAAATTCATTAATTAATGAATTTTAAATAAGACAAAATTATAATGTTAAATTTTACGTATAGAAATATTTACCGAAAGCCACAATCATAAAATTTTCAACCAAATTTGCTGAATGATGAGCAAATGATGGAAATTCACCAATATTTGATGATACTTGTGGTATGATCTATTCAAATGGAGTCATATGCGTATTCAAAACTGCCAGGTCTGGTAAGGGTTTAATAAATTTAGTACCATCGCCTTTGGTTCCACCATTCATAATTATTCTTCCATCTTGAACTATATAAAATAAATATATTATTATTTGTCAAAAATCTATAGCAACATGAAAAAATTAGCTGTACCTAATACGGCAGAATGCCCGAAACGTGATTCAATTTGATCAATATTTCTTGCTTGCTTAAATAAAATTTAATTAATTTTTAAGTAAAGGAATTTATATTAATTACCTGTATATAATATTCACTTACCATTACTGACCACTTGTCATTATTAGTATCATAAAGGTTAATTTGATTTATATCTACTACATCATTATTTCTAATAAAATTATTACTAGGTAATTCCCAGCCTCCAATATATACAATGATACCACTTGATAAAAATGTTGCAGTATATGAATGACGTTGTAAAGGAGCATTAGCAATAGAACCAATTGTCCACATTAAATCATTAGTACTTAATATACTCATATCATTATAAAATTGAATATTTTCTTTTTCTAACGAAGCTCCACCAAAAATATAAATTTTTTCAGCATTATCAGCAACACCTTGCATATATCCTCGTCTCAATGGCTCTGTTCCTGCAATTATAGGTGCATTCCATTGTCCAGATTTTGGATTAAATGAATGTACTAGTGAGCTAAAAATATCTGCATTATTTTGATCAATCATATATCCTCCAATAAGGTATATTGTTGGATTATTATTACTATCATTTACTGCAACAGCAGTCGCCCAACAACCTCTAAAGTTCATTCCTGAATTTAATGTAAGGTCAGTCCATGGAGGAAGTTCAGAATTAAATCGTTGAGATACATCAAGATAGAATACTTCATTTGTACAAGTTATTTCGTTTCTTCCACCAAAAAAATATATTCTATTTCCAACAAGAACAGATGAATGAGCGTTACGTCCTACAGGATTAAATGACTCAACTTTATACAAATAAATTATTATGGTGATGAAACATAATTTAAGTAATTTATTATATGTTTGGCGAATCATAATTCAATAGTAAAGTTAGTAAAGTAATTTACAATTTTTTTTTTATTTTTTTATTTTTTGATAAAAATTTAAATTTATTATAATCCCTTATTTATTAAAATTAACATTACACTGCATCGCTGTAGATGCGCCAACCTTACATATCTAGATGATATATGCAGATCAGTACAAAAATAAAATAATTCATGATATCTGTCGTGCAACATGATTTTGCGCGTACTTCAATAAATCATCAAAAGAATATTTAGATGTAACCGATATAATTAAAATTTATCAAATCATCAATGACATTTTTAATGTTGATTTTTAAAAATCTTCACTCATGCAAAAACAAACATCTTTATTTAAATTAACATAATAAATAATAATGATTGCAATCGGCCTAAAAAAGATATAATATTGTAATGTTATCACTTTTCCTCGATTTTATTTTTATTTTTCAAACAGCTAAATGATTAAGATAGTTTATTTCTTTTCTTATTTTTAATTTATATTATTTTTTTAATAAATATGAACACAAATTAATTCTTTACAGAAACTTTATTTCCTGAATACGCAGTAACTACATATTAACTATACGTTAACCATGTAATATAATTGTGAATATATGGTGAAGATGCAGATACTGCATAGCATATTAATGTCGTATAAATTTTTAATGTTTCTGTAAAAGTTTATTGCAACATCAATGATAGTGATGAAGTGTTTTTAGTAAAGAATTAAAAGATGCGTGATCTTCTTTTAAACGATAATGAAGTAACAGAAGTAGGGATTGGGACGACTCTAACGGTTCGGTTCCGGTTTTGCGAGTCGAACTTAACCGAACCGATAGAGCGGTTCAAAATAAACTGTTCTGAGTGGCACTCGGAACCGAACCGACCGAACCGGCTCTGAAAAAATAAAATTATTTAAAATACAAATAAATTAAATTACTAAAATAATAAAATTAAATGACCCATGATGGTTCAATGATTATTTCATTTCAGTGCAAAAAATTTGCGTTACAAATTACTGTGCCACGAAATTTACCAATCGCTAATTTATTTTGTATATTTTAATTTTATATTAATTTACATTTTAAATATTCAATTACTAACATTACAATCTAAATAATTTAAATAGAATTGACTCTCAAGTGGAACCGACGTTCGGTTCTTGAGTCGCTCCAATTGGAACTTTTCCTATCCCCAAACAGAAGGTATTTAATATTTCGTATGATTTAAATTTATTTAATCACAACGTCGCTCTGTTGTTCCAAAATGACAGGTTTGTATGGATCATTTGCATTAACCAATCAGAACATTGTCACTATTTTAAAAAAATCATAGAACTTAGAAATTGCTACGGAATCCAAAATGTTTGCTGACTCATACATGCAAGATTTTGATTACACTACTCTAAAGCAAAATTAACTTGTTATCTGTTCTTGAATAATGAAGCTCTAATTGTTTTAATATAAACTTCATATTTTTCGCAACAATCGAATTGGATTCGAGAATTTTCAACACTTTTAAAACAAGCTTATTTTAACAAACTTTCATCTCTTACTGTAAAACTTTACACTTGTTTGGATGACATCTCTATTAGGATATATGGTCACATGACATGAATTAAAATTCAATCTAGTTAATTATCGAATATTTATTATTTTTTTTTTTTTAAAAAAAAAATATTACTTTTATTTAAATAATTTTAATGAAATATAAATTGATTGACATATTATTTCATTATCATGCAATGCTAGTATTGTTCTTTTGATTTATTTGATCCTGTTGGGCGTCCTCCTTCCTAATTGGAAATAAGATTTATTTTTTGCTGTGGTAATTTTGTTCAAATGAAGTATTCTACCTTGATGTATATCGTCCATTTAATTTTGCGGTTCCACAATCCATTAAAACCATGAAAGAGGACGTGAGAGAATTATTACCTTTCTAGAGAAAAGTATAAATTATTCCATCAGCATGTACGTCATATGCAACGAAATCTGTTTATTTAGGATAATTGGATCATTTATGGAATTTGTTATCAGAAAAAAACTCGTTACTTTCATAATTTAGAAATATGCATATTGAACATGACTAAATAATCACAAATCAAATAAACTTATGCTAAATAAACTATAAAGTGAGTGATTTTAAATTCACTAATTGTAGTTTATTTAATTACAAGAAAGAAAAATTTATCGATTATTGGGATAATAGTTTAAAATTGTTTTTGCACATTTTAGAAAAATAATCATAAATGATTCATTAATAAAATAATAAAATGTTTTAATATTTATAAATTATCGTTATGCATTACCGGAAATTCTCATAACATCGTTCTGCTTTCTCTTTTGATACCATTTATAAACAAGGATTCCAATTGTCATTAAAATTACGGCACCTAAAATTCCGCTTATTGTACCAATTATAACTTTCATTGTATTTAATTGACTATCAGTATTTGAAAAAGCCGATGATGTAGGTGTTGTAGTTGTTGAACGAGGATTTGGCAAACTTGTTTTTGAAGTCGTAGTTTCAAATTTATTCACCCAAGTGTAGTTTCTTGTATCTAACAAGTAAATTTTGTTTGACCATTCCATTTGGACTGTTTTGAGTGTATGAGCAATAAGTCCTGCATGTATAATTTAATAATCTTTTCTTTTTAGATAAGTCAAAAGAAAGGCGTGAAATACTAACGTATAAAAATATTTACCAAAAGCAACAATCACATAATTTTCAACTAAATTTGCTGTGTGAAAAGCAAGTGATGGAAATTCACCAATATTTGATGATACTTGTGGTACGATCCATTCAAACGGAGTCGCTTGAGTATTCAAAACAGCCAGGTCCGGTGTTGCTTTAAGATTGTTGATTTGGATCCCACCATTTATGATAATACGCCCATCTTGAGCTATACAAAATTGAAAATATTATGTTATTATTTTTAATGCATAATAATAATTTGATAATAACCTATACCTAATACGGCTGTATGACAGAATCGGGATTGAATAGAATCTATACTTCCTGCTTGCTTAAATAATTTTAAATTTTAATTCATTATCATAGAAATTCTAAATAGCACTATTATACTTACTATTACCGACCAGAAATCAATTCTTGTATCATAAATATTAATTTGGTTAATATTTACTATGAGCTCAATGTTATCAGAAGATAATTCCTTGCCTCCAATATATACAATCATACCATTAGATAAAATTGTTGCCGTATATACATATCGTTTTAAAGGAGAATTAACAATAGAACCATATGACCACGTTAAATCATTTGCACTTAATATTATCATATCATTCAATAATTGGATATTTTCTAGTCCAAGAGAAGCTCCACCAAAACCATAAATATTTCCAGCATTATCAGCGACAGCTTGAATATGTCTTCTGCGAACTGGTTCTGTTCCTGTAATTTTAGGTACATTCCATTGCCCGGAATTTGGATTAAATGTATGTACAAATGAGGTAAAAACATCTACATTATTTTTATCAGTCATATTTCCTCCAATAAGATATATTATAGTGTTATTATGCTTATCGTTTATTGTAACTGTAGTCGCCTTACCACTTTTAAAATCCATTCCTGAATTTAATGTAAGGTCGGTCCATGGCGGAAGCCTTGTATCAAATTGTTGAGACACATCAAGATAGAATACCTCATTTGAGAATACATATCCATCAAATCCACCAAAAAAATATAATTTATTTCCAACTAGTACAGATGATTGAGCATGACGCATTCCAGGAGTAAATGACTCAACTTTAAATAACAAATTAATTAATATAAATATGAAACAAAACTCAAGTAATTGTTTGTAATTCATATTTCAATTGGTAAAGTAATTTTTTTTTTAAAAAAAAAATTTTTTTTTGACGTACATATTTTAATAATAAAATTTTACCTTATACTGCATTTTGATACGCTACAATTTAAATTTTCGACGCTGTGTACGTTACATAATGAAAATTTGTATCACGGCCAAATCCAATGCCATCCGGCTAATATATGTTTGTAAAATAATTCTTTACTTTATAAAATTTATACCATATACTCAAAGTTGTGTGTGTAATAATAGGACGTTAATATGAAATAAACAATGAATTAAAAATGTCATTTTCATTCATTTATTAGCAATATTATAATACTTTTATTTAATTTCTTTAATTTATTCGCAAACTCTTTATTTCTTATACTTTTATTGCAATGATAATAATGTAAATGAAAATTAATAAATGATACAATAATTTTTGCGTTATGAACTTAAGCTTAAATTAATTTTTAATTTCTGTTTTTTTAATTCTAAAGAAACGGAGTGAGTGATTAATTTTTTAAAAAAAAATCATAATGAATTTTGACATTTACTTGATCGCGCAAAATAAAATATCCGATATTTGATAATATCCTTATTTAGATTAATATTTATAATCAAATTCAATCATCTTGATAAAATATGTTATTTATTGTCTCGATAAACCAGAAGTATTATTAAATGATAAATATTAAAAGAACAATAAATCAATGAATGATTGTTATTAACCGAGTACATAACATCGTAATGACCCTACGGAAAGTAAATATTCAGAATATGCCACCAAAATTTTCCGAGCATATCTAATTACCAAGTCAAAATAAACAATATCTTATGTCTTACTAATGTTATCCAAACTTGTAGTAGGGCAAGCAAATCTGAAGCGATCTTTGCATTTGAAAGCGTGTTCCGATTTGGGATATTCAAAATGATAACTTCAGATATTATTTCAAAGATAATTTTATATATGATACTTTCTCATGATTACTGCTATCAGAGAAACTATAAAGTTTTTAATCACTTTGCGAAATTTAATATGTTCCAATCCTTTTTGCCACAATATTATGAAGGTTTAAAGTTCATACAAAATATAATTAATGATAATATAACGTTAAATGAAGTATACCAAATTCTTAAATAAAACCACTACCTCCCCTTCCCATCATAATGAATGACTAAACTACTGATTAGTAATCAACAAGTTGTAATTTCTTCTTTGGGTATGCATCATCACTAAACAACGTCTAAAATATCCCTTACTTATTATAATATTTTTATCAAGAATCATCAATTAATACATTTTTAATAATTAATTAACCTATTCTAGAATCTTATTTGAAGAAAGTGTAATACCAATTTCCTATATATGACTACCTCCTCTTCACATAATTGCATCAATCACAAAAATCATAATATATACATACAGTATAATTAATTATACTATTAAGTTATATTTATTACTATATTATTATTTATTTATTTACTTACATTGTAATCTCTAATCAAATTTCTCTACTTTTGCTTACATTGGTGAGTATTATGTTTTTATTATAACTTTTTAGTATCTTTTGAGAGATATCTTACCAAATCTAGTTTTAATACCTCTGAATAATGGTAATATTTATGGTTTCTTCTTCTTCTCACCTTTATCAAAAAATATAGTTTTAGAATCTCCCCAAATGATTTTAGAAGAATTTTCAAAAAGTATATAAAATTTTCAAAAAATTTTGATTTGCATATTTTGAATTATTGGTCTTTTTCATTAAAGGTTTCAAAAGGTGAAAAATTAAATGATGATTAAATAATACTTTTCTTTAAAAATAAATTTATTTATTATTTAATCAAAATTTATATTTAATTCTTATGAAAAAATTCTTTATTATTCTGATTTGATATTTAGTAAAACTTACAATTAATATAATAAGAATTCTATGTATTCAAAATTCTGATTCATATTTTAAAAATAATTCAATTGTTATATTATTTATAAATTATATAACTTAAGCAAAATTTAATATAGTAAATTATAAAATTAAAGATATCATGGTAATAAATATAAAGTATCAATAGGAAATTTCAAATACAAGTTCAATAAAAATTTATTAAAAATTGATCAAAAAAAAGAATAATATAATTTAGATTATCTGCATAATTTCAATACAATTTCAATACTAATGCAGTGTGTTATTTAATGAATATATTAAAATTTGTATATTCATAATATCATTTATTATATTAATTAATACATGAAAATATCCAAATAATTATTAAAGTTATTATATAAAAGAATTAATATTTCAATTATAATAATAAATTATTATAATTATTTTGTCATGTAAAATTGTTTCAAACTACTATTTTAAGCCTTTTACTATATTTTAATTCTTCTATATTTACATTAAAACTTCATGTGGAAATAATTGCTATAAAAATTCATGTAAAAAATGCAAAATTTAAAATTTATTGATATTAATAGAGACAGCTTGCGTTACATGATTAATATCTATCTGTGATTGAAATGTCAGCTCGCCAAAATTGCTATGTTCCATACCTAAATTATTTGACGCCGCGAAGTCATAAACTTCAAACTTATTCGTGCCTCTTTAGTAGTCCTATAATAAAAATGTGCTATTAGTATACGTAACATGACTGAATAAAAAAAATGCATAGAAAAATGTCCTTATGGCCGTATCATGTAAGTAATTAAAATTGTCTTGCGATAAATATATCGATAAGTTAATATAAGGTCAAATTTTATATAATATATTTGTTTTTCATATAAATAATAAAATACAATAAAATATTTGCTTTTGTTCAAAACGATCAAACAATGTGACGCATAATATTGGCTCGTATCGTCTAAACACAGTAACTTTTTTTTTGATGCCAAATTTACAAAAAAAATTATTTATAAATTATGTGATTATATTTTAATATGTACATTATTAGAACGAAGCTAAACAAAATAAACCAATTATACCATATTTTAATATATACGTTATGAATAATACAAAAATGAAAGATTTTATTTAAAACATCAATATTTATTTTTTAATAACAAATTGAACTTTGCTTATAAAACTTACCGTACGAACCAATAGGACATGAAAGAAATTGGTTGGATGCGTGCTTTGGCGCAGAAGATCACATGAAAATTAATAACATTATCCAATTAGAAAGATGGGGGGAATTAGTCATGCAAGGTCATCATGCGATTTATTTTGACCAATTACATTCTGTTTCATTATGTTCTTGATTTTGCAATAATCTAATTTTTTTCATTAAATTATATTCCTCAGCCACTTTTCTTAATTACCCAACTCAAGTACATGTATTTTGATCGATGATATTTCTGATTCGTTGAACGAATTACTTTTACACCAATAAAGAAAATCTCAATACCAGAATAAATATATTGTAAAAATTATCTGGTTCTTTAATTTATTCTAAAGATGTTATATAATATAATACATACATATTCGACTAACTAAATATAAATTATTTGTCTATTTATTTTTATGGTAACCAAAAAAAAAAAAAATCGTCACATACTCTTAAAATACGTTTATTAAATTTGAATGAAATGATAAATATATATTTTCTTTGCATGTGACATACGCATTTAATTTACTGTATGTCTTACGTATTCTCATCAAAAACCTTTACGTTCAAAAGAAGTAAATTTCTTTTAATACAATCCCCGGCGAAAAGAATAGCGACTATGTAAATACCGCTTTTAATTTTAGGTCGAGACAAGTTCACTTTCCGATTTAGGTCATTGTTTATACCAATTCGGTCATTAGAACTCAAATTAAAAGATAGACTTTGTTTCTAATTCGATTTCATCTTCGAAAAAAGGTCAAGCCCTCTTGAAATTCTGTTAAGTTTCTCTTGATACCCCAACCCAGACTTGAATTCTATCGAAAATTTATTAAGGTCAAAATGGAGAAAAAATTAAAAATTTTTCATTAGGATCGGTCTTGTAAACAATAAAAGAATAGTTTAAATACCGTCGAAAACGTTTCCGCCAATTTGTTCGCCAATTAAAAATTTATCTCGCGTCAAATTTCCGATTTTAGAAAATTAAAATTATCTTTAACACATGTTATTAAGTATAAAAAAATTGTCTTGCTAAACAAATTATTTTATATGGATATAGAAATTAAAAAAAAATAAAATAAAAAATAAAATTCATCGCATGATAGATGATGCATGATATGCATGATAACAATCAACAAGATGCATGATGAGTGGCATGATGAGGCTTTTGACTCTAACGGTCGCTTTAAATTATATGCCTACATTTTAAAATTACTCATTGGTTATCAATATTATTCGCGTCTGCTAAGCATCCTTAAAATTGTGCAACTAGATTAACGCCATATCCCTTTCTGGATGTTCAGTATCTTTTGAATACATTAATAAATCCTCGGATGTAAGAGATTCTGAAGACAAAAATTTATTATCATTTTTCTGTAATTATTTAATATAATGAAGATGTCTTCAATAATAATTAATTTAGGAATCATTATTAATATGATAATAACGGTTACATTAGCACAGCAAACGATCTTACGTTGTTGTCACGGTTCTGTATTGGCAGAAGGTAGAATATATATCGGTGGAGGTTATACAGGAGATGAAAATCAAGACATCATTTTAAACGATTTCGTTTCTTTTGATGTTAGCGTTCCATTTTCTTCAACTGATATGAAGTATGAAGTTCACGCAAATGTTCCTATAAAAAGTGTAGCTCACGCACTTGTGTATGCGAAAAGTGCAAAGGGTGGAATGATTTATTTGTTTGGTGGTTATAGAAAAATTCCTATTGGAGATCCAATTTATGAATACTCCCTAGAGAAACAAGCATGGAGTTCCATAACACCAAAAGTTAATAATGGCATCACGATGCCAATTGAATCTAGTACTAGGATTGTCGGTATTACAGATAGCAGCTTAGATACCATTTACATATTTGATAATGGAACCATGTATATTTACGATGTATTAAATAATTTTTGGAATCCTGGTGTAATCGCTCCTTACAAACTTAATTATTATGGCGCTGTAATGTTAAATACCAGTGAAATTGCTTACATTGGTGGTTCTGATGGTACAACAAACCTTCCTATGAATCAGATCCTCTTATATAACACAAAATTATCGTTATGGTATACAAAGGTAAATAGGTTGAATTATTAAATTTAAAAATTTCATATTTCGTTACAAAAATTAATAATTTTCATTTCAGAACGCAAAGTCGAATGGTGTAATGCCATCACCACGGCAGGGTCACACGGCATCTATAGGTAAGCTATAAAGTGCGTGCGTTAGACCGTCAATATGTTTGTTGGACTTTATACTTAATATAATTAATTACTTAATATAGCACCAGATGGTCGGATTTTTATATATGGTGGTTTTGATGGTAATGAAGATGCGCTCATTTCCTCCGGAAGTATTCCATCGTTCGCAGTCCTTGAGCGCGTTGGTGATGAATTTGTATGGTCCTCTCCTGAGCTATTTAATCAGTCATCTGTTATGAGGATCTACCATACCTCACACGTAGTTGGTGATTATTTGATCGTTGCTTTAGGTATGAATCGCTTATTGTATGCAATAAATTTTTAGCATCTCATTATTAATTATTAGTTATAATAGGGCGGAATTTAACTCACGTTAGATTGAACACGATTGATCTGATAAACATAAAGAGTAGAGATAGTTACGAAATTGTCACAGACTTTACACCATCACCAGTCTCATCTCAAGCTACACTACCTATCACACCTATTACATCATCACCGCCCATATCTTCATCATCTTTATCAAAGAACACCATCATTTTAGCAACAGTATTTAGTACTTCTGTTTTTTTTGTAATTATTGCTAGTGCTTTCTACTTGAAATTATATTATCAACGACGTAATATTTTTCCAACCGCTGGTGATCATTAATCACTTTTTAATTTTTCGTTAATAAATACTTGTGACATGCAAAATAATTTATACTAAATATAGAGAGACTTATATTATCATTAAAAATTGTACAATATCTAGCATTAATATATTAAAATATTTAAATAAATAAACGGCGTTGGATTGCGAAAAAATATTAAAAAGAAAGAAGGTTGAGTATTTTAATAAAGTTATGTCATATTTATAAAAAATATTGATTGTAAAAATACGCTTTTATAATTAAGTATAAAATAGTATTTGCAAGTATCTAAATGTATAGTATTTGATAAGTTTATAATGAAATAAATTTATATTATCGATAAAGATTAATCTTTATTTTATTGCTTAGCTTAAAATACAATAACATATATACACTACTTGGACAAAAGTAGGCGGACACCATATTTATTAATTACTCAAAAACGTACATAATAAGTGGGGTCGAAATTTTTAACTATTATTAGTTAAACCATATACAAAACTAATATTTAGTTGGCCAGCCATTATTCTTAATTCATGCCTCAACCCTGCGTGACATACTTTCAATTAAATTAATTAACGTATTATTAGGAATTTGATTCCATTCTTCATGCAAAGCACACTTCAATTCCTTTACATTTTTTGCAGGTTTAGAACGTTTTCTAATGCGTCTTTTCAGCTCTTCCCATATACCGGGGGGTACCAAAAATATTGCATGGTCGAAATTTAACAGATTTAATAAATTGTTAATATGTAACTGCCTATGTAATTTTTATACCATATTTGCTATATATTGCCTAAATGGGATTTTTGTTTATTGTTTTGATTTAGCATGTT